CTGTGCATGGATTTACACGGGTGTCAGAGCCTGTGCATGGGTCTGCATGCGTGTCTGTGCCTGTGCATGGATTTACACGGGTGTCAGTGCCTGTGCGTGGATTTACACAAGGGTCAATGCCTGTGCATGTGTCTACACACATGTCAGTGCCTGTGCATCCATTTACACGTGTGTCAGTGTCTTTACATGTGTCTGCACATGTGTCAGTGCCTGTGCATGGGTCTGCATATGTGTTGGTGCCTGTGCATGTGCCTACACGTGTGTCAGTGCCTGTGCATGGATTTACACGTGTGTCAGTGCCTGTGCATGGACTTACATGTGTGTCAGTGTCTGTACATGTGTCTACACGCATGTCAGTGCCTGTGCATCCATTTACACGTGTGTCAGTGTCTTTACATGTGTCCGCACACATGTCTGTGCCTGTGCATGTGATTGCACGCATGTCAGAGCCTGTGCATGGATTTACACGGGTGTCAGTGCCTGTATACATGTCTGCACGCGTGTCGGTGTCTGTACATGTGTCTGCACACGTGCCTGTGCCTGTACATGGATTTACATGCGTGTGTCTGTGCATGGATTTACAGCTGTATCAGCGTCTATACGTGTGTCTGCACATGTGTCGGTGTCTGTACGTGCGTCTGCACGCGTGTCGGTGCCCGTCCATGAATTTACACGCGTGTCAGTGCCCGTGCACGGATTTACACGGGTGTCAGTGCCTTTACATGTGCCTACACGCGTGTCAGTGCCCGTGCGTGGATTTACACGGGTGTCAGTGCCTGTGGAGGTGTCTCGCAGGCGTGTCAGGGCGCGTCCCTGGATTTACACGTGTGTCTGTGCCGTGATTTCACCTCAGCTGGCAACGAGCCTCACGCAGCCCCTCCCCCGCCCCTCCCGTGGGCCGCGATAAGAGACTTTAATGACACGAGAGCAGAAAAGGAAAATTAACCCTAAAAATAACGATCATAATGAGGAGAGGGGCCCCTCCCCCGCACCCTCCTGCGCTG